GCTGTATAATTGAATGTCAAATAACTGTAACCCATCACTTGGTCCAAAAAAAAAAGAGAGAGAAAGAAGGAAAAATGGGGAATAGAGCACTAAACCAAAGCCAGAGGACACTTGGGGAAAGTTATAGTTTCTGTGCTTTTGCATTGATTGAAACATTGAGGACAATTGGATTGTTCAAAAGCTTTACTGCAAAGTTAGTTTCTATCCAAATTCCAAATCAAAGCTTAAAGTTTGGTTGCTGGAAGGGGTTCTCGAGCAGCTGTCCGAACTTAGTTTTAAAGTTTCAGATCTAAAGCTACATGGTTTGTATCGATGCGTCCCTTTAAAGAAGTTTCTAGAAAGTTGAACGATGCAGGACTTGGATGACAAACTCATGAAAGAAAAATAAGTTTTTGTAAGTTGCTGGGCCACTGTGAGCCTGCATAAACTAGACAGAATAGTCAAGCAAGCAGTGGTATCCTTCGGGTTATCAAGTGGGCATCCTCCCTCGCTAGTTTTAGTGAAGTAGTGGTTCATTTTCCTTCAGTGGTGCAGGGTAGAGACAGCTCCTCTGTGAAACGATCATCTATCTCAGCCATCTGTGGCTTTATTATAAGCCCTGACATTGATTCACCGATGTTCTACGCTGAATACAGGTACCTCCAAGAGTCCTTTACTGATGACACACCTGAGGACGAAGCTATTCTTTCATTTATACCCTGAACAGTCACTCCAGATGCTCCATCTTTGAGACTGGAGCTCTTTATTTGGGGTTAGTTACCACATGAATCATGGGAGAAATTCAACTCAACGTTACACTTTGGTGCTGCGATGTTTGTCGGAAATGATCAACCCTCTAAATCCAGAAAAAGCCACTCTGAGCTGATCTCAACAACTTTAAGTCTTCACCGGCTCTGATGAGTATCTAGCTTTCTGACCGTTTAACAGTTTTATCACTTCTTGAAAGAAAAGCTACAGTCCAAATGCGGTACAATAAGACGGCCTTGGTAAGGTTTGTGAGGTTGTATGTCTGAATCCAATATGGGTGCAAAGTGAAATAATCCGATCGTGACGTGTGTATTCATACATCAAGTTTTATTCAGATTAGAAGCGTTTGGACATGTGCAGAGTTGTCTGATTTTGCTAAAACAACCACAGAAAAAGAGTTGATTCGCTGGTTGATGGCGCTCTTGCTTACTTATTTTACCGCTCTGTCAAAGGTTGCTCTGTTTGTACAGATGTGACATCATTACGCTTTATGTACAGCTTGTTATGTGATTGTAGGAGCAGACATGGAAGCTGCGGATGTGTTTTATGCCAGAGTGTTAATAATGTAGGTTGACCATATTCTGAATCCCCAAAAAGAGGAAGCGACTACGCGGGGGCGGAGTCACAGAGTTGCATGTATTTAATTTTGAGAGTTTTTCGGGACGAATCGAGTTTTTTTTCGTGCTTCTAACTCAGTAAATCCAAGCGACACAAACTCAAAACTTCCATGAAAAACCACGGACATTTGAAGGATTTTATAAACTCCACAGACAAACCCGGACAGCCCCCGAAAAAGAGGACATGTCCGGTTAAAAGATGACATATGGTCCCCCTAAACAAGGAAAAACTCCTGTACTGGCCTAAGGCTCAAGAGTGAAGACCGAGTCAGGTTAGAGTCATGACCGGAATAAGTGTTTACATGGACGTGTTTTGGAATAACAATCGGCATAGACCACCCCTCTTGATCGGAATACAATTTCTTTCCAATTGAGCCGAATTGGATCAAAATCATTGCATTTTTATTCTGATCAGGCATTTATTCCGATTATTTGTGCCCATGTAAACACAGCTCCTCTCACCGTTGTCCACCTAGAAACTGATACGTTCCTACTTGTGGCTAACACTGACACACACACAATGGTGCGTGATGACCCTGAAGCTATAAAAAGGACATGAATAACAAGTCCACATAGCATGGACAAGTGCATTTATTTCTGCGCTATAAGGGAAGTGAAATATTCTCGCTGGCAGAGGAAGATAGTCACAGAGATTTTGCAGCCGACTCTGTTATAGTCAAAGCGACCTAAACACATTTTCTTACAGTTTATAGCAGCCCATACACACACTGAAGCTCGGTGAAGTGAAAGAAATGCCATGCGTTCCGTGTCTAATTGAAAGTAAGCAGATGGTCCTTGGCTTTCGCGGGGGGACTCAACATCAGGTGCTGAGACGTTTTGAAGAAAATCCCGTCGGGCGCGGAGAGAAATGTGAACAAATCTCAGTTCCGTTAGATCAGACAGAAGCAGGCCCACACCCCGGAGAGAGCCTTAATCAATACTAAAACAGTGAGAACAAGTCCAGGTCAAGGCACAGGAGAGCGATAATGAGAGAGAGACGAGAAAAGGAGGAGAAGAGAAAGCGGAGACGGGCGAGTCGAGCAGGTGGAGTAAAGAGACAGCAGCGAGAACAAAGGTGGAAGAGATTAGAGATAGAAAGGAGAATCAAAACGGAGCATTTGACGGGTTTCTACCTCAGAGCAGCATGACTGAACATTCACTACCCGGCAATCTGATTGTTTTCAACAGCTTTTAACCACAGTTCAATTCACCCTGAGACGTGTGACACAATCAGAGCCGCAGCCTGGTGTGAGAGACCGCGGTGAGTTGACACTCGGCTTTTTAACATCTCTGTCTGAAATGAGTCGCTCTTTTGAAAGGCCCCATCCGATGAGAGGCTCATGTGGTGTCTTTTAACAGCTATACAGAAATCACTCACAGAAGTGCTCAGATGCAGAGCTCACCAGGTTCAGGTCCAGGTTCATCGCTGCAGGGGGGGAGGGGAGTGTCCTGCACCAAAGCGTTTTTCTCCACAGAACTGTGACTGCTAGCAAGATTAGTTAACAGTGCAGACGAGCTGTGATGAGTAGATGTCTTTGGATCATATCTGTCAAGTTTTGGTTCAAAAATAAGGGGAATTTTCTGACCACCTCCCCTCGGATCAGTGCAGCAAGCAGTGGGGGGGTTAGTTCATCATCTGTGTGATCACAGACGACAACTCGCTACTATTAGTTAGTTAGCATACGCTAGTCACAGAGTTCAGTTTTTAGAGGCAGAATAATGTTTTTTTTAATACATGTATTATAATAGGGGGGATTTCTTGGGTGATACTACTAAGGAAAGACGTTGGAAAAGAGGGTTAAAATACAGTAGTTTCTCAGCCACAATGGGATACTTGACAGCTATGATTTGGATAGGAGTTTGCAACCATGTGCAAAGGTTTGGTGATTTAACTGATGACAAACCATTAATCCCTGACTCTTTGGAGGAGCCAGCTGTTATAAAGGAAGAGGCTGGATGTTGTTGGGGAGAAGATGAAATCAAAAGATATATTTAAAAAAAAGAAAAAATAATAGACTCTGACCAATCTGTTTTTATATGAAAGAGGATTAAGGCCACAAGAAGAGAAAAAAATAATTACAGGAGGGAGATTTTTTAAATTTTCATTATGGGATTAAAGTCAAAATTTCGAGACTGAAGTCAAAATTTTAAAAAGTCGAAATTTTGACTTTTTCATGTCGACTTTAATCTCAACATTTCAACTTTAATCTCAAATTTTTAATTTTATTAATCTTGAAATATTGACATTATTCATGACATTCTGACATTTTATAATCTTGAAAATTTGAGTTTAATGTTGAAATTTTAATTTTTAATCTCAAAATTTCGATTTAAGTCTCGAAATTTTGACTTTAACCTCCTTCAGCCTCATTATGCCTCTAGCCCGTTTGTCCACCATGGGATCCAGAGTCTTCAGCCGCACTGCCCCCCCGCCTTTCGAACTCCCTCCCCCCTGACATTAGGAACAATGACTCACTCTCCATCCTCAAATTCCGTCGCAAAACTCATTATTTCAGACAGGCCTACCAAGGCTAGCATTTGATGTTCTGCTGCAATTTTTTTATTTCATACTTTGTTGTGTTTCTGTGTTTTTTTATTGATTTTACTCCTCTACTGATGTGTCTTTTAATTGCCCTGTAAGGTGTCCTTGAGTGCCCTGAAAGGCGCCCACAAATAAAATGTACTTTTTTTTTCTGTTCTTGTGGCGCTGATCCTCTTCTGTAGTTTTATGGGTGTAAAGATGTAAATACGTCATGATTGTTCTTACTCTTCAGCAGCTATTATTTCAAATTCAGTAATAAAATACATCACACAGAGGTGAGTGAGTTCTTTGTGTGCACAGACATGTGGAGAGAGAAAAGGTTGCAGATATTTTTAAGCTAAATTAGTTATAAAAATAGTTCGATGGGTGCAGATGCATCCGGTTTTAAAGTGAATAAGAGAGGACACTGTGAGTGGATCTACTTACAAGCACACAAAGAGTATTTGAACTAAGATTACACTCAGTTCAACCTGAAGAGACCCTGAAAAACTGTATATTCTTGCAGCATGCACTTTAGACTGTGGGCTATTTATCATTTTATTAGGGAAGCGAAGTAGAGAGGTGAACTATTTACATATTCATAGATCTGGGGATATTAAATAAAAGCAGAAGTATACACTCACTTTCAAGCAATTTTGAGGTAGAAATGGGTTTTTGGGGGATAATGAGGAAGATCCATGTTTGATGAAAGATGACTTATCTGGAGTTTAATTAATGCCAAGACAGGAACTTTAGCGCCTGATAAGCATAAGTTGAGATTTAGCCCCCTCAGTGATTAAATACATATTCAAAGAGCTATGATGATAAAACATCACGCCACTGTAGAGGAGATTCGGATACTGATACAGACAGCAGCGAGTTAAGCTCCAGTGCAGTATCCTCTCCCCGTTTCCCTGGAAGTCCTCTCAAGTTTGGCCTTTGATCATTATTCGCTCTTATATCTAAACTCGCTGCTGTGAATGCGGCGCTTCTTGGAGCAGAGCGCAGTTTATTAGATTCTGCAGGAGGAAGCTCTCATCTCATCCCCAAAAATGAGGATGAAATCGTCCCGCAGGAGAAGCTGAATTGGCCCTCGGTTGGAGTGGTTACACAGCTGGGAGTGCATAGATTGCCTGGCACAATGCACATGATATCAGTATGGATGGGGCCCTCGAACGGCGAGCTAATGTGGCGTTTTATCTATGTTTGATCCAAATTGCTTCATGTTCTTTTAATGAGGTTGCAATTCAGCTGGAGGATGTGTTTACCATGACCGCCAAAATAAGACACAACATATGGTGTCCAGTGCTGTACAATAGTAATTCATGGCCCGGTCCAAAAATCAGCCATTACTCACTTTAGAGTGCAGTATCGTAATCTACACGCCGTCATGAAGAGCTGGGAGAACTGTAAGTGGAACTCATCTTACCCTAAACAGTTGACCCACTGTCTTTTACATTATATGGTCACTATAACGCCCATGATGTGCAGACAAAAATACCCCAGAGACGATCTGGCTGTTGGTGGTAGATGCTGAATTTCTTTTGCATTTACGAACCAAAGCAAAAGTCTTTCAGCTGCACTTTGTTACTGCTGCATAGATTTACTTCATCTATGCATGTATTCTCACTTCAGAGTCTAGGGATTGTTTTTTTCTCTTCAGTCAAGATCCATGATGCACAGAGGGAAGCTGCAGCGGCTCCCGGTTAGACGGTGCAGTTCTGCATCAGGGTTGCATATTTACATTCGAAAGCTGCAGACAAACTCTAAACTGGATTCTCTCTCCTGTATTCCTTTGGTGTAGTTGCTCCAAAGTGGTACCACCCAGTGGATCATTGTATTCAGGATACTTGGATGCAATTATTGCAAGAGAGACACACTGGGTTTGCATTTTAAGTTGGCAGTAAAACATATATTTTTGTTTGTTTGTTTGTTGTCAGTGCTTTTTTTCCCCACTTGTTCAATTGTTTCATCCGTGGCTTATTTTCGTTTTGCTGTCTGGGTTTGTTGTGCTTTGAAGGCATATGTTTCGATATTATTCTCGTCTTCTGGTGATATAAATGGTGAAATGAAGTGTTCTGATTTTCTAACATATTTGTTTTAGGTATCAAGCCTGTTGTATGATGTGATTTAATTGATTTATTTTAAGATACTCTTTGCAAGGGAACATGAAATATGGGGGCATGAGTTCTATGCATATACACTTCACAATTAAATATGAAAAAATAAAAATAATAATAATAATTTACAGTACATTGGGGGACCACTTGCAGGTTGCTTGCTTGCCAAGTTTGACTGACCTTGCTGCATACAGGTACTCACAAAGACATGTATTATGGTGCATATAGAAGTCAGACAAGATAAGATTAGGACAATTTAAGGTACAGTAAGGAACTTTCTGTCTGTGTTACTTCTGGCGCCCCCTATGTACAAAATAATATCTCATATCTCTTGTCCTGCATGTGTGAAAGAACAGTTTGAGGTCAAAAACCTCATCCTTATGTGTTTTAATCATAGACTGTATATAGAATGGGCGCCGTCTGCCTCCTTGCTGGGTGAAGAACAGCACCCTCTGGTGACAGGCTGCAGTATAGGTCATTAATCCCGCCTCCTCCAGCAATCCCTATGGAGTTGTGGACAAACTTTAGAAATTAATTTCACAGAATATACATTTTTCTCTCTCCTGGTTGCGATGTTGACGTGCAGTCATTGTAAGACTAGTTTGTGCTCAAGTCCTTTTTTTCTGTGCAGCTCCGTTTTTGTAAGTTATTAGGGGTTCATGTTTTCTATGATTGACACTTATGGGCGTATGAATCAGCTGGTCTGATACCGACCTCCTCACAGTGGACTTATCAGACTTGATTCTGATGGGCTTGTTTACATTTGAAGGTCAACCAATTAAAAACTCCTCAGAGCGCCTTTAAAAAGTTATATTTGTGAATTCTCTTCTCTCTCTTTTCATTTTTCTTATCAGTGACTGAGCAGTTTTCCACAACAAACTCACTTTCTAGAGGGAAGGGAGTGACTGCCTGACTGTGATTGCAGACACAGCCCATCACTCCTCCCTCTCCCTAAAACACAGCGAACCCTAATCCCTGTTGAAGTCTGGAGTTATTAAGCCATGATCCCTGCACTATCACACATTCAGAGTCCCTGTAGAGCTAAATACTGCAAAAAAAGACTCAAAATCCATCCGTGGCTGCCCTGACATTTATTTGATATGACTCCCAGTAAGTGTATCATGTAGCCTCAGTTAGCCCCTTAAAAGAGAGACACATTGTTGGACAGTAAAACCATCTAACAGCGGGCTATTCATTCTTCTGGAGGATTTACGCCCGAAGCTTTTTGGCAACACTTTGGATTGGAGATAAAGAATTGGCTCATATGAGTAAACACAAAAACTGAGCAAACAGATTTGGGATTCAGAGTGTGGCGCCACGTTCTGAAAACACCCCCATGTTGGTGTTTCAGCTCAACTTCAAAAAGGTCTACGTGCGCTGGAGTCTTTGCACATTTGAATGTACGAGTGTGCGAGCCGGAGGGAGTGCACACGGGAATCCAAGCCATATGCTTGTACATATTTATTTGTGTACTAAAATATGTCGGAGAATTATCATTCTGCAACACCTTTTCATCCCACCAGACACGACAGAACTTGCTGAATAATGCCGAGGCCTGGAGCAGGGAATACATTCAGAGATGCATGCAAGTGACAAAAAAAAGCTATTCATAACCATGGCCCAGTGTACCTGATGTGAAGCAGCTGGTCTGACACTAATGCACTAATGTTTGCAGAATTCGCATGTTCAGTGTAACATTAGGGTGTCACATAATGCCTCCCTCTCAAGGAGACTGATATGCATGCTTTTGTTCATCAGATGATGTGATGCTAAGATACGACTCAACCAAAATGAATGAAACCTTTGTAATGCAAAGACTCATACATATAGCGACTCTCGGCCTTCAAGCTTTCTTTGCAATGTCCCTTACAGTCCTGACTGAACATAATGGCTCCCATCTCGGGGAAAAGTTTCCTCAACACAACAGATGGCGGTGAATTTACATCTAAAACAACAGCCTTATCTGCTGCTCATGGCTACTGCTGCTACTGCTGAAGAAGAAGAAGAAGAGAAAGTGACGGGTTCAAATGGCATCTATTCCCCCCACTCCTCTCCAGCCATGCCCTAAAGGGAGAAATCTCACACACATCTGCTACTGACCTGCAAGCTGGCTAATGAGGACCTGGAGCTGGACATGTTTCTCAGCGCTGGAGCAAGAAAGCATGCGGGTGAAAGCTGTTGCTTAGAGGAACTGTGAGTTTGGTGCTGCTTATTTCGGCCAAACAGGCGGTTGTGGTACAAGAGGGAGTCGCTCCCATGAGGGAAAGCTTTACAGTCGCACAGGAGCAGGCTGGTGTTGATGAGGAGAGAGGACAGATCTATTAGACACAGCTTTTACACCGTTCAGTCTTTGTTTCTTGAAAGGCCAAAAATCCATAAATGAAACTTATAGATAGATAGAACTGGTTTCAACTACCAAATTTTTCAGGCCATAAGGCACACCCGATTATAAGGCGCACAATGAATTAACGTGTTTATGTTCACACATAAGGCGCATTCAGCAAAACAACACAGACCGGTAAATCAAACTTTATTTAACTCAGTTGTAACAACAAATACCGGTACAGACTAATATGCTCTCTTATTGATTCATTCCTCTTCCACAAATCCATTGAATTCCTCATCTTCAGGGTCTGAGAAAACAGTTGTGTGATTTCGGCATCAAGCATGCCCGGGTCCCCCTTGTCATTAGTCGAGTCAGTCTCGTTATTGTTACCGGTACTTGGCTGTTCAGACACGATTCCAGCTTTTGTGAAAGCTCAGACGACAGTTACCGTAATGCTCAGAATATCCATTGAGCGGAGCGGCTTTGTTGCTTACCGAAGTCTTACTTACACATTTTGACTGATTTTTGAGCGCACTGTACCACATAAAATCAGTCAGTGAGCACAATAAGTAATGATACAAAAGGCACGCTGGATTATTAGGCACACCGTCAATTTTTGAGAGAATTTAGGGGCCATATTCTCCGAAAAATACAGTAGGTTAAATAATTTACTCCATGTAATATAAGGTGCCACATCCACACCAGGCCTCTCTTTAACCCTCCTCTTGTGTTAGTGTCTGCACTGACCCGTTTTTGATTTTAAATGCTCAAAAGAACCACTTAAATTCGTTTTTTCAAATCAAGACTTTTTGACTTTGTCAGGAACCTCGATTTCAACAAAATAAAAATAAATTGATAAATAAATTGACTAAATGATAAAATGCTCTTATGAAAATTATGACACTTGTCGTGTTAGGGTCGCTATTGACCCACTTAGATTAATATCAAATAATTAGAGCAAAAACTAAAATCACAAGTGCACTGTCAGGCACCACACTGACAATCAGATTCTCTTCCCATCATGAGAAATTTGGAAAATTCTTATTTTGTTGTGTTTTTCCCTGCACAAAAACAATGTTGGGCATGTCCAGACACATGAGATTGAGTATAGATGTCTGTATGAGGGTTATACTGACAAAGAAAGGCCCAGAGCCCACAACAAAAAAGATTGTAAGCAACATTTTCATGGATTATGAAGCCTAACAAGGTAACCTAGAGATGAGAACAAACTGGATGATAGAGAATTGTTTTTAGTGTAATTTACAGCTGATTTAAGACACGACCTGTTTACATCGCTGGTCCATAGTAAAAGCTAACACAGGAGGAAGGTTAGACTGGAACGGATTTAAATAGTTGAATAAATACATGAATACACACACACAGATACGCACACTTGGGGTTTAACCAGAAGTCAATGCTGTAGGCTATCGTCAACCAGTCGAACGGTCAACTCCACAGGGAAGGGGGCTGACCTTGACTCTGACATGCGGCTAAAGGCGAATTTAGAAAAGCCACAGTTATTCTTTTCTTCTTATGTAAATACATTCTGGTTTTCAACAGTGTGACGTCCCTCTGTGGACTGTTTGAGATGTTCGCATTGCTGAGAGAAATTCCCATTTCTGCATCTCGTACTGAGTAACATAAAAGAAATTAAGTCCACCTTAAAATTGACTGTGGTGGATTAATGAAAAGGCAACCAGCTGATTTTTTCTAAACGGAAAATATGTTTTAGTGAATAAGAATTCACAGAAATGTTGCCTCTGGAAAAACCCTCCCTCCATGTTTGGTGCTGCTCCAAATGGTCCAAAAACCGTGACCCTTGTGTAACCCCCACACAGCCTGAAGGCAGCAGACTCAATCTTTTTGTTTCTGGTGTTGGCGCACAGTGGACTCAGCGAGGGAAAAGAAAGAAAAGTTCATTACTTTTTGACTCCTAAAAAGCTGAATATTAAAAGAGGAGTAATGAAAGCGAACAACAGGCGCTAACAGACCAGCTTATCCGCAGGCCAGTTAAGGGACTCCACTCCTGCCCTGCTGCACCCAGGAACCTGGTCAGGTTGAAGATGAGAGCTCCAGTCAAGAAGATGGAGACTGTGAAGTGGTTTGGTTTGACGGCTGGTTGCCAAACAAAGCAGCTGGATGACTGACGAGAGCACAAGACAGTGTTTAAAGTGAAGAGCTTGATTCCCTCCTAAAAAAAACACACCTTGCAGAAGCTTGAGGCTCTTGAGGAGCGTTTTTGACCTAGAGAGCGAAGCACCTCGACATTACGTGGTGAGGTGGAAGTATGTAGCCCCTCTAAATTGCTAAAGAGGCCGTCCAGGGCAGCTGTGGAGCAGTTTAGAGACTGGAAACTACAGGGTACAGCACAGAGGAAAAAAACATTGGAGAAAAAAAAGGAAGAGGATTTTCTGCCGTAAATAGACAGCCAGAGCGACACAGACTGCGTGTAGAGAGCCAGTCCTCACCTAAACGGACCCCTTCAAGTGGCGCCAAAGAACAGGTTTGCATGTTTAAAGTAAAAACTCAGGTCAAAAATAGGAAGAGGATGTGCAAACAGACTGAGTGGAGTAAGAAAAACAAAAAAACATCTCCTTTTGTTTATTTCATTGTGGGTGTCTTTGCTTTGAAACACTTGACAGATTGTTGCCATCCTGCAGACAGGCACTGTGCATGTCTCAGCTCTACTTGTCATTTCTGCCAGTCTCCTTTCCATCCCTTTACACCATCCACTGTGCTGAGGTAACAATATACAAAAAAACACAATTAAAAATTAAACCTGTGTGTTGTTTTCTTACCTTTCTAGTACGTCCAAATGACTAGAAAGGCCACGAGATGTGTTAAAAGGTTCTTCTGCGCTTAAGCACTTTGTTCCACTTTATGTAAATGTTGGTTTACAGTTGATTATAGCTTACCTGCGATTACTGTAAATTTACTTTTAAACAGTAAGTGCTTTTTACCCGCCATGTTTAGAAGCAACAGTAGACTCTTATTCATTTCCATGTAAAGCAGTGAGTTAGTACAAGATAATTAGGAGGATTCAAATGTCAAACTATCAAAAACCATCATATCAGGGTTTTCGGTTAATGGATCAGATGCTTTGTTAACTCATTCAGTGCCAATGACGGATTTGGATGGATTTTTTATTTGCTGAGTGCCACTGATGGATTTTTCAGTTTTTCTGTTTTCCACCAGAGGGCGCTCCTCCCCAATATGCGACCAAGTTCGGGGTCGTTCTGAACGCAGAAAAAAGCCGACAGATACGTCATAACCATGTTAAAATAACAAAAATCAAGTACTTGCCAGTGAGAAGTGTGCCAATTAGCCTAGTTGAGGAGAGTAGGGAAATGCTGAAGTCATTAGCAAAGAGCTAGCGGTCTCGGCACATCGGCTCCCGTGGGCATGGTGCTACCGTCTGTGGATCCAGTGGAGATCACAGTACCGGACCTTCATATCGTCAGCAGACAATCAGAGAAACAATTTTCCAGTGTGTCATTGTGGCGCCAGTGCCGGTACTGGTGAGCGAGACTGAGCCGGAATTCAGAGACAGTCCCGGCGAAAAGAAGCAAGTATGACTCCCAGCTGTCGCAAAGTGACCTATCACAATCGGATCTCGAGAGTGATGAGGAGTGGTGTCCGAGGTGGAAGGACCTCGATGCCACGGGTAGTGGCAAGTAGTTTGAAGTAAAATGAAATAGACGATTAGAGTTTGACTTACAAGTCTCTCCTTTGTAAAAATGTGTTTTTACCAGGTTTCTTTTTCCAGATCGGCTTTGAGCAAGCAATAACTAAACACAGGAGTAGGTTACAGAGGTTACTTTTTTTTCTGGTGAAAGAAGAGAATCGCCCCTTTCTTTTGAGATATGGCACTTAATTCTAGTCTTCGGGTCCTGAAAGATACAGAAATTTCTATGGCGGTCAATGGTTGCACTGAGTGAAAATTGCATAAATGAACCTGGCTCTGAATGAGTTCAGTTTCTGTGGCTAAAACTATAACAGGAACTTTCCTCATCTTTGCACATGTAACACAAAGAAAAACAACTAAAAACTAAAAACTAGTTCCTTTATTAACAAGTCATGTTCCCATAATGTAACCTCCTGGAGAGCTCGCTATGTTTACATCAGTTTGCACATGGACGATGACGGGCTGCAGATCCTTCACTTAGACTAAATTTAAATCCTAACTCAGAAATGTTGTAAACAAGTCAAAATATCATCTTCCGTGACCTTTAAAGGACTTGTTTTAAAAAGCGATGTGTTGACATTTAAAATGAGAGGTGGCAGAGAGGGTCAAGTCTCCCTCTGTTTGCTGTGATCACCTCCTGTGTTATAACGCAGCGCAGTTTCTAACGGGTGTGAGTAGAAATTAACATTAAACAGGCATAACCGTTGCTACCTAGTTAGCTAGAATATCAATATCCAATTAAAAATGATGTTTTTTTTGTTAAGATAAATGATCGGCGTTCAAAGGGTTAAATTATCTGACATTTTAATCAGCAAACATGACCTCGCCTTACAGATGTAGCTTTAATTACTCTGCATGAGCAGTTCGGGTAATCACGGGTCTTTCTCTGCTATATAATGTCCATATATTCTCTGCAAAGTCCTCCTCAGCTGTCAGTTCTCTGAGATTTCATTAATATGCAAAGATTTTCACAGTATAGGTGATCCTAAATAGCCTGGTGTTGCAGTAAAAAAGCTGTCCAGCACATCTGAGACCATCACTTTATGAGGGTAAGCAGAAGTGGCAGCTAGCAGCCATTCGAGAGCAGCCAAACGGTGTTTCTTCATGAATTCCCTGTCAGAAAAAAAGCACACATGCATGCTCTCTCCACAGCTCAACACCAAGAGGTCACAAAGGTTCTGTTTCCTCCTCGACTGATGTCAATGCTCTGTCACCCTGAGCCATTTTCAAAGTGTTTCGTTACTGAGCCTCTCTGTTTTAGTGCCACTCGGGTCCCTCAAGAGCCCTGTGGGTCTGGCTGAAAATGTATCTCAACCTACAGCTCGCTAGGACAGATCTGTCTGGAGGCACTTTAGTGGGCAGAAAAAAGGGACATCTAGTCGGCTTTGTTTTCCTGTCTGTCTTTTATTTCTGTGTTTTTCTCTGCAGCCACAGAGACATGACAAAACATCCATTTATCTTTAAAACGTTATCATCAGAAATGAAAGTTTCTCCGTCTATGAATCTGGAGTTTAGCTCCGCAGAGGATTTCAAAGAGTGAGTCAATAACGAGTGTGA